AGGGGGTCAGACCAGATGATCATAATGGTCCCTTCTGACCTTAAAGTCTATGAGTCTATGAGTAGGATAAAAGTCTCTGTACATTCAGATATGGGCAGAAAGGAGGAAATAAGCAGTCTGGCCAGTGTGACCCCAACCCAGAGGGGACACCTTGAATCAGGACCCTGTGCACAATGTTACCCCAGGGGTGGGCAGCCCTTTGGCGGGGATGTAGAAACCCCTGCCACAGCTACATGCCTCACCCCCAAATTAAAGGGGCAGGCAGAGCAGGGTCTTGAATGTAGCTGGGTGACCTCTTGGTGGGCTCTGACATGCTGGCAGTGGGGAATCCCTCAGAGAAGGGGAGCTCATCCAGGAGCACATTCTCTGAGGTGGCATCATGGGTGGGCATGTCAGATACCACGCAACCTAACCAGCCCTTCAGGAGAAGCAGAAGCACCTGAACTGCTACCAACATGGATCTCCCCTAAAGATGGGCCCAGCACAGCCCCCTGGATTCACACAGCTCAGCACTTTGGGTAAGTTCAGGTCCTGATCTGGCTTGGGATGGGCTCCAACCTGCAGCATCCCAAAGGGGAATCTGTGACTCAGCCCACTGCCCATTTATTGCCACCAGTGCCTAAGGGCCCAACTGCAGGGGTCTCATTGACCCAGAGGTCAATGCTCCGCTGTACTAAACTAAACAGGTCCTCAGCTGGTGTCATGTGGTGTAGCTGTGTTGCCTTCAGTGGCAGGAGCTGTGCCCATTCACACTGCTGGGGATCTGCCCTAGGAAATGATGACACGTAAGACGCCTCGGCCCCTTTGCTGGGTGGGTGGTCTGGGGAGTGTGGAGTTAGCTGAACACAAAGGATCCAGCTGGTGCCAGGGGACTCGTCGTTGCAGCTCATGCTGGGCGGAGAGATGGCATGAATCAGTTTGAGCTCTACCAACTGGTCACATCCAGGCTCAGCCCCACTTGGATTGAGCCCCGGGCGCTAAGTGTGACAGAGTCTCACATCACAAGCCGTAGGCGTGAAAATCCAGCAAATATGGGCTGGGAAGCTGGTGGACCTCACTCTCCTCCCACCCCTCAGCAGCCATCCGCTCCCACCCCACAAGCTCCATGCTTAGCTTAGAGCTGTTCAGGAGTGGGGCTCGCTGGAGAACCCCAAGTCTCTTTGGGGGATGGGAGAGGCATTCTTGTGGAGACATAGCTGGCTGGGGGAGGGAGAGATGGGACAGTTGATCGCGTGGGGCTTCCCCCTTAGAGATGTGAGTACATGGAATTAAAACCTCCAAATAACCCTGCAACCTTCCAACCTTCAACTGTAGTGCTCAGTGAGCGAATCTGTCACTGGAGATGCCCGGGCCATAAAGCAGAGCACTTCTGCCAGGATCCACATTCTCAGCCTCAGAGTATAGGAAGATCCACAAACTAATATACTAGGGCAAGGAATTTCACTCTCAGCCTTTGCACTCAGATACTATGGTGATGTGCACATTAGACAGCACAGCAGGACACACTAGCAGTGCCAGAGTTCATGTCCCCAGCCTCATAAACCAGAAGGATCCATGTAATAGTGCAATAGCACCAGCATTCATGCCCCCAGCCTCAGAGTTCACTAGGACCTGCACATTAGTGCAATTGCACTGGGGTTCATGAAGATCCACACACTAGTGCAAATGCACTGGGGTTCATGTTCCCGGCCTTGGCATTCCGGAGGATCGACACACCAGCATACTGGTATCAGGATTCCTGCTCTCCGCCCCAGACTGCATTTGTAATGGGATTTGATCGGCTTTACGTCGGCTTATTCTGCCAATTAGCTTCAGCCAGTAAAATCCCTCTTCCCCCGAGCCCGGGGGGTAATGATCTGCTGACAACATGTTCTTTTCCCGATCTGGCCGTTAAGCTCACCAGCAGGGTTAGGAATAGTAAAAACGTGAATACCCTTGCTTGGGGCTTTCAGCGCTGTTTACAGAAAAGCTTTACAAGCTGCTGGCTTTGGGACAGAGTCCTAATCGCCCCACACAATGCCACTGGAGCATCCCATTGAAACAGGCATCAAGGTCCCAGGAAACAACAGGGACCTGCCAACCTGCAGAGTTTGTCAGAGATGAATGCTCCCTCCCTCCTTCCTGGCTCTGTTCTTCAACCATGGGGTGCCCATCCTGGGATGCCCTGGGTGCTTTCTGATCATGGTTGGCCACCTTGCATGCTGGATACATGTGCTCCCTCCTGCCACACTGGCAAACTGTGCCCTCCTGGAAGTGGACCCTGATCCACTGAAAAGGGGCAGGCAGAAATGCACAGCCTCCCTGACCCATGTGCATTAGTGGCTGAGTCCTACGAGGGACTGAGCGTTCCCCACCTTCCCATTGCAGTCAGTGGGAATGGCTGGCACTCACAGCCAGAGATGAGACACATCTGCAGGAGATTTGAGTTACAAGGGTGCAAAAAGAATCTAAGGCAAACGTTTTTCTCTCTCTGCATGGAAAGAGTCCTTTGAAGTCAAAGGGATTTACACCAGCTGAGGAGCCTGGCCAGTAGCTAGAAGCATCAGTTGGATTCCAAAACAAACCAGAAGAGAGAGAAAGAGGAAATTAAGACAAAAAGGAAAATGTAACAATACTGACAGTGCTGGGAAATCTGTGTCTGCTCTATGCTTGTGCACTGCAGTGTTGTTTGTCTAAGGCTCTCAAGGTGCTGTACCATGGGGTGAAAGTATCATTATTATCCCCATTTCACAGGTGTGGAAACTGATGCACAAAGAGAAGTGACTTGTCCAAGGTCACATAGTGAGTCAGTCGAGCTGGGAATGGAACATAAGAAAGGTCACACTGGGTCAGACCCATGGTCTATGTAGCTCAGCACCCTGTCTTCTGACAGAACAGAGGCCAGTGCCAGATGCTTCAGAGGAAAGGAACAGATCAGGGCAATTTACAGAGTGATCCATCCCCTGTTGCCCAGCTTCTGGCCGTCAGAGATTTAGGGACACCCAGATTATGGGGTTGTGTCTCTGACCATCTTTGCTAATAGCCATTGATAGGCCTATCCTCCATGAATTTATACTTCTGGTTTCACAGCATCCCCTGGCAACAAGTTCCACAGGTTGACTGCGTTGGGTGAAGAAGTTCTTCCCTTTGTGTGTTTTAAACCTGCTGCCCATTAAATTTCATTGGGTGACCCCTGGTTCTTGTATTGTGTGAAGGGATAAACAACACTTTCTTATTCACTTTCTCTGCACCATTCATGGTTTTATAGACCTCTATCAGATCCCCCTCAGTTGTCACTTTTCTAAGCTGAACAGTCCCAATCTTTTAAATCTCTCCTTGTACGGAAGCTGTTCCAGACTCCTAAGAATTTTGGTTGCCTTTTTCTGTAACTTTTCCAATTCTAATATATCTTTCTGGAGATGGGGTGACTAGAACTGGAGGCAGTATTCAATGTGTGGGCGTTCCATGGATTTATATAAAGCCATTATGATATTTTCTGTCTTATTTTCTATCCCTTTCCTCATGGTTCCTAATATTCTGTTAGCTTTTTCAACTGGTGCGGCACTGAGTGGATGTTTTCAGAGAACTATCCACCCTGAATCCAAGATCTCTTTCTTAAGTGGTAACTGCTAATTTAGACCCTATCGTTTTGTATGTATAGTTGGGATTATGTTTTCCGATGTGCATTACTTTGCATTCATCAGCATTGAATTTCATCTGCCATTTTGTTACCTTAGCCCAGATCTCCTGACTCCCAGTCCTCTCCACTGAATATGGGATCAAGGCAATGGCCTTTTCTTCAGAAATCATCCCTCTCTGCAGCATACTAGCTGCAGGGGATTGAGGGAAGGTTGATGGAGCCAGGGTGGGAGTTCTCTGCTTGCCTGGGGTTCAGAGCAGGCACACATGGCATGGTGCTGAGGGAATGGTAATGGCAGATGGGCAGAGCGGGCGCAGCATGTGGGTTTGGGGATGGATGGGGGAGCCTGAAACGTCACATCTGGCCAGAGAGGCAATTTCCACCCCGGCTGGAAGCCAATGCCAGAAAACAGTGAGAAAGCCCACCATGTGGAGATTAGTGCTAACCCTTGTGTGACAGAGCCACCTCCGGGACCATCTCCTCCCTCCCCACTGCACTTCTGGGCCCTCTCATCTGACTCTTGAACCGAGCAAGAGAGACGCGCTATTCCACATGCAAAACAATACTTGGCACCTTTCACCTGAGCCTCCCTAAGTGGAGAACAGCTGTTAACAAAGACAGGCAGCGTCTCTGAGAGCTGTCATGCCCCATTCTACAGTGGAGAGTGGTGAGGTGCTGAGAGGAGAAGGGACTTGTCCAAGGTCACCCAGCAGGTGACAGGGCACAAAGAGAACGCAGGGGGTCCTGACTCCTGTGCCAGATGTATAGGGACAGGGAGCATCCCTGGTTAATTGCTCATCATTCCAAGCACCTATCTGCCTCTTCGTACTATGTTTAGTCCCTTCCCTTCAGGGAGCAGAACTAGTGGCTCAGCCCCAAAGGTCCCATAAGGCTTCTTTCCTTTCCACGACTCCAACCCCACCTGGCATGTGAAATGAAGGCAGAAGGGTCCGAGCTTGGACCAGACAAGCAACACAGCCTACAAAATACAGCCGGGCTCATTAGGAGCAGGCAGGCGAGTGGATGCCAGGGAGAGGGTGAGGGGGTTGTTATCAATCCCAGCATCTCTTTGGGGTTGGGGTAGGTATATTAGGAGAAAGCAGGGTTCTCACCTTATCTGTAGGGCGGGATAGATTGTCAGGTACATCAGGAAAACTTTCCCAGCCATCTTAAACGCACGAGCCAGGCGATCCCAGGGAAGCGCAGTGTCCACATAAAGAGAGGCAGCTTGGGCTGGCGTGACTGCAGTTTGACAGATTCCTTCCTATCCAGTTTGCAGGGGGGCCCAGGGGCTCCCCTCTCTCCTTCCCCAGTCTGCCCCAAAGGATGGCCAGCTCGGTCCAGGTGTGCTGCAGCTGGAGTCTCTGGGGACCAGGAAAGAAAACACTTGTAGCAACCAAACAAAATACTAAAGGTGGTGGTGGCGGGGAAAACCCACCCAGGAGAATCCAAGTTCAGAAGGAGGAGGAAAGCCAAGCCTGGTGCCTTTGTGTCTCCTTGACCTCCAGCAAGTTTAGGGGCTTTTCTTCCATTCCTGCCTGCTTGGGCATGGCCTCTGTGGCTTTATTGTTGAATTCCCAATGTCCAATCTCTTTACGGAAGGGTTTCCCCTCTTCTCTTTTCTCCCAGCTCACCAGCTGTGCCTGTGCCCAGCAGACAGGTGCAGTGAGAGCTGTGTGTGTGCGCACAGCACAAGCCCCACCGGTTGCTATTGCAGCTAGAATACTGAAATCCTCTTCTCTCTGTCCCCCTCCTTTTCTCTGCCTCTCTCTCTCTCTATTTCTTCCTTCTGTGCTTCTCTCCCCACCCCTCCCAAACTCTCCCACCCTCCCTCCGGCTTTTAATCCTTCCTTTCTGATCCTTTTGGAAAGAAGGGTCAAAGTTGGGCATTTCTTATCCTACTCCTTGGCAGGAGAGGAGCAGAGCGAGTGAGAGGGAGACTGGCAGGGAAGAGGAAGAGAGATGCTCAGAGGTCTCACGCAGGGTCCTAGCTCCCCCCCGTTTAGTGCAAGGGGTGGAGGAGGCCTTCTCCTTCCCAGCAGGGCAAGGGTTAACAGCTTCTTCTTGCTCCTTTCTTAAAGGGAAAAATAAAAGCAAAAAAAGTTCAGTTGCTGTGCTGACAAAGGCTGTATCCAGAAATCAAAGGGAAATGCCTATTTGTGTGTCACCGAGTTACCAAACGGAAGCTTTTGGGAAGGCGAAAACCGGAATTCATTAACTTGTGTAAAGCTCTCGCTCTCCTCCTTCACCTAACGAGACATGACAAGGTCGTCGCTCATTAGTCACATTGTAGCGTAAAACCTCGCGCAACGTTTTGTTAAAAGCTGGGGAGCGAGGCTGTTGCTAGCAAAAATGTGCCAGAAGCAAATGCCAGCAATGCTGAGCGAGGCTCAGCTCCGCCAGTAGAAGGCGGCCTCGCACCCAGTGCATTGTGGGTGCTAATGCACTAGAAAGCATAACCACTCACTGCCGCCTCCATGGGGTGAACCTCTCTGTGCACAGCCTTGCTCCTGGGTTACATCCAGGTCTAGTTTTGGCCCATCAAAAAATAGCCAGGGCCCCAACTCGCAAGTGCTCATGCATGGGATTCTCATTGAGTGCAGTGGGCATCTCTTGAAGAGTTGGGATCCTTCACTCTAAAGGACATTCCGAAACCCAGCTTTTGTCCTGTGCCTCCCAGAGCAGCCCAGGCAACTTGGTATCTTATCGCATCCCTCCTTAAACTCTCCTTTGCCAGGATGCCAACAAAAACTTGACCAAGCACAGTGGGGTCCTGTCCAGGGCTGGGGGTCCTAGGCACTAGGATAATAATAATAAATAATAACTGACTTGTGCGCTATTGCCAATGCCGTTCTGTTGGGGGATTTGCCATATAGGGAGATAGTGCTGCTTTGTGCAGCCATCAGGAGACCTGTGGGCTGATCCCAGCTTTGCCACTGATTCACCGTGAGACCTTGGGCAAGTCATTTCACTCTGTGCTCAGTGGCCCCATCTCTTAAACAGGGATAATATGTGTTCACCTTTTCAAAGCGCCTTGAGATCTTTGACTGAAAGACACTGAGAGGATTATTGAAGAACAATAATCACATCCCGCATCTTGTCTCTGGGAGCAGTTCGTTCTGCTGAGCCAGAGGTGAAAAGGCTGTAACACAGCTTGTAAGGAGAAAGGAAAGTTGGTCTTGTGGCTATGACACTGGTGTAGGCCTCAGGAGTTCTGGGTTTAATTCCTGGCTCTGCCACCGATTCACTGGGTGACCCTGGCCACATCGCTTCATTTCTCAGTACTCACTCCCCCTCTGTTAAATGCTGGTAAGGCTTCCTTTGTTTAGCTTGAAAGGATGAGAGTCTTACATCTCAGTGCAGCCCCTGGCCCAATGGGGCCCTAATCTCAGATGGGACTTCGGGATGCTACCATAAAACAAACAGTAAATAATAGTAACACACCTGGCCAATTTTGCAAGGCTGGTCAGTAGCAAGGCAGCCATCGCTGTCTCTTGCTGCAATCACCTTAAGCAGTGAAGCGTGAGATTTGACTACCCATCATAAACCACAGGAGCACAGGTGGTCTCACGGGAGCTCCAAGATGGAATGTCCTTTTATTAAGTGGCTGTGTATTATGGTTGTTATATTCACAGCAGCTTGCAATGAGCTGGTGGGGTCTCTAGGAAGGTAATGTCAGAAAGAGTAAATAATGCAGATCAAGGCTGCAGGGAGTGGGGGGTAAAAAGGGCTCTTCATACTCCAAAGAAGGTCTGGGGGGCTGAAACATGCTGGGAACATTGGCTCCTTCATTAAATCTGGCCTCCATTTCGATTTGTACTGTGCCTCCTGCTTGACCAAAACAGCACTTGGAACAATCCCAGCAAGCAGGAAGGCTTGTTTTCGGTGTGTGTCGGAACCACTGAACCCTGGAGATCCAGCTGACAACAGGAGATCTGGACTTTAGTCATACAGAGCTTGCTCAGATGTAGACCCATATTGCCTGCCAGGGGAATTTTGCTGGAGTAAGAGTGCAGGATCTGGCCCTTGGGTACTATTCCTGGCTAGGCCCCAGGGACCCCTGAGCCTGAATCCCATCCCAGCCCAGGGTCTGATGACATGGGCAAGTTTCTGCTCCACTTTTCCCCTTCACAGGGCTGTTCACAGTCGCATTCATGAATGTCTGCAAAGTGCTTTGACATCCCTGGCTGGAAGGGACTAGGGAAGGACAAAGCATTATTAGTGTATTGCTCCACCAGGTCTCCTGGGAGAAGTTTCCTAGCCAGCCTCTTGTTCTTTACTTTACATATGGAGATATACCTATCTCATAGAACTGGAAGGGACCCCAGAAGGTCATCGAGTCCAGCCCCCTGCCTTCACTAGCAGGACCAAGTACTTATTTTTGCCCCAGATCCCTAAGTGGCCCCCCTCAAGGATTGAACTCACAACCCTGGGTTTAGCAGGCCAAAGCTCAAACCACTGAGCTACCCCTCCCCCGAAATCATAGAATATCAAGGTTGGAAGGGAGCTCAGGAGGTCATCTAGTCCAACCCCCTACTCAGAGCAGGACTAATCCCCAGACAGATTTTTGCCCCCGATCCCTAAATGGCCCCCTCAAGGATTGAACTCACAACCCTGGGTTTAGCAGGCCAATGAGCTATCCCTCCCCCCCTTACATTAGACCAGAAGGTACCTCTTGCTTCACTTTCCCTGCTGTTCTGTTCTCATCCAGGTCAATACCAGGCAATGGGTACCAGGGCCCTCCAGACAGAACAAGGTTATCCAGTGATAGGCTTAGAGCCTCCCATCCACGTGCACAGCCATTTTAAATGCACTGTGCTGGTTCTTACACTTGGCTGAGGTGATGGTGAATGATGACCCCTCTTCCACATTTATAATAGCAGGCTAGTGCAGAAGGTGAAGGCTGAGTTTAATACACCTTCGACTCCTATCTGCCTGTCACTTGCACTAAGAGGTGGTGGAGAGCTGGCACCCTGGTCACTTGTGCAGTGGCTTCCCTCTCTAGCTCACCAGTAAAACTCAGTTGATTGTTCTCTTGCCTGCAAAGGGTTTGAATGGAGTTTGAGCTTATGCTAATATTAATCAGAAGTAATTCTGCTTCTGCAATGGGGGGAAAGCTGGTGTGAGAGAGGGCCCAGGCCTTAGGTGCCTACTCTCCAGGAGAAACCAGGCCCCTGGCATTGGCAGATTTGTTAGGTGTGGAAGCCCACAGGTGGAATATGAGTGGATGTTGCAAGCCAGGGTTGAAGTTCACTGGCAGAGCTGTACGGAGGCTGCCAGGCCCAGAAGAGCAGGGTGGGATGGGGGTGCATCACAGAGTGGAATGGGGACTCTGGGACTAGAATGACTGGGGATGTCTGCAGGTCAGGATGGCGGGGCAGCGGCAGAGTGGGGTTGTGTCCCAGAAGTGGAATGGCAGAGGGTTCCGATGCTCTGGATTGAGGTGAATTTGCAGTGTTGCTTGGGGAAAGCTGGCACCGAGCCTGCCCACCCTCTCTCTGGCGCTGCTCTGTGTTATCAGTCTGGCAGCACAGCTAGGGGTGCTGTCCTTTCCGTGGGGTCCCTCCTTTCTGGCTTTGGTTGGCAGCCCAGGAAGCTAAGTGTCCTTTGGCACATTTGGCAAAGAACAGGGGATAGTTCTGGCATCCTGGGCAACATTCCCTGTTGGAGCAAACCAGGTTCTAACGGCCTAGGTACGTATGCTGCAAAGCTGCAGTGGTTCCTAGGGTAACCGCTGCACTTTCAGCCCCCGAGCCTCCTCTCATAGATTCATAGACTTTAAGGTCAGAAGGGACCATTATGATCATCTAGTCTGACCTCCCGCATGATGCAGGCCACAAAAGCTGACCCACCCACTCCTGGAATAGTTCTCTCCCTTGACTCAGCCATTGAAGTCCCCAAATCGTGATTTAAAGACTTCAAGTCACAGAGAATCCTCCACCAAGCGACCCCTGCCCAGCAAGTGACCAGTGCACACCAGTGCAAATTGAGGCCAAGCCCATTCAAGTGACTGGGGTAAAGATGCTCACAGTGTCTCCTTGTAAAGCCCTCTGGAAGACACTGAGTAGGGTATCCTCCTCAAGCACCAACCTCTTTTCTACAGTACAAAGTGGCCTGTTCTGTTCACCCCGTCACGACATTTGTTCGCCATCACAGGGCATTTGTACCTCTTAGGCTCACTAGAAAGCCCCTGCATGGCGGCAGATGCTGCATCCTAGCTTACGCATCATCAATAACCCCTCCAGCTGGGCTCCGACTCCACACTCATTATGGCTGGCGATGATGTATGAAGCAAAGAGGACACAGCTTGATTTTCAGGTGCCAGGTTGAGCTTGCTGTGCTGACAGGTAGAAAGATTTTGTTTTGACTTGTAAGCTGAACAAACATGACAGGGGAAAGTCACGGCAGGAGGATGAAGAGGGACAGGACAGCAAGGCACCGTTGTTTGCAGATTTGCTTTTCTGGCTCCTCCCCTGCTCAGATTTTAAAAGGTTAAACCACTGATGGGGTTAATGTGTTAAAGGAAGGGACCCGTGATGGACACAAAAACATCAGACACGAGACACTTGAAAGAAAAAAAACATTGTAGGGCTTATATAGGGATGGGTGAAGTCAGGGCAGTTTGAAGGCCTGAATATCTCCTTGAGATGCTAATTTATTTTGAACTGGGAGTCATATAGATATAGATATAGATAGGATTGCAGATATAATATCTTATCTGGAAACTATTGTAAATATACACACTACAGAAAAACACATGCATCCATACCCACACATGCAATGTGTTTTTCCAACTAACGGGAAACCTGTGCTCTGTATTAAGGATAGAAGGACCCACCAAAATCTGGACTGACATAAGTGAGGGCCTGTATATGGCAGGGCACTTACCTCATCATGGGAACACATCTCATTCCTCTTTGCTCCTTTTGTCCCAGCCTTTCTATTTGTTTTCCTCCATCC